ACGTATCGGAGCCGACTTACCCCGCTGTGAGGACGGCGGCAAAATCGACCTCTGCGGCTCCCCGTCGACGGTGCTTACTCCCACCTCCGCTGGTGAAGTAAGAGCGTCAATTTGGGAATCGATTGTTGCATCCCGATGAGACGCGATAATTCGATTCCCGAGAGATCGATTTCTATCCGCCGATTCAGGCGGGTAGTGTAGACTTAGCCTTAGGCTTTGTCTACACTACCACTTTTATCAGTAAACCTTTTGTCAGTCAGGAATGGGGAAAAACACCCCCTTGACTGACAAGTTTCACCAGCAAAATCATTGGTGTGGACAGCGCTATGTTGGCAGGAGAGGCTCAACCCAAACGTATGGAGGATGGCATGGGAAGCTGGCATTTCTACGTGGGACAGAGTTAAGGTGGTATGGTTACCTTAACTATAAATTTCCATATTTCCAGATTATAAGGCCAGAAGGGATCACTATGATCATCTAGTCTGCTTGGTTTTCTTGTAGATGCAACTTCACTCTGAATTTTCTGGGTTTCTAACTTCTGTTCACTGTTAAACTCTAATATTCTTGAAAGGTAACCTACACATCACAACATTGATAATTCAGGCTGTAGGCTCACCCAGTAAGTTTTTTACATGGGATTTAGTTTGGGTTTAAATGCCTTCATTCCTTTGACTAGAATTTGTACCCTGGGGTATCAGAGTGTCATATCAGACTGACAGACAGGGAAACTAGTCAAAATAAAACCACCACCAAACTGAACCTTTACCCAAAACTAACACTTAGTGGAAACCAAATTTTTCCAGAGTTCAAGTTTAACTATTCTTCCCCTGCTTTTTTATTGAACATGTTTGTACAATGTTACCCTTTCTGGTTCTGGCTAGAATCAAAAATGTACAAGGGAAATAAGCAAGCAAGCATTATTTAAGGAAGTATAAGCTTAAATAGCTTTGGCTGAGCTTTACGATGTTAATCACAGCAAAACAACCTCTGTAGGTCAGTCTGTCAGTAGTTAAAATTCAGTAACACAGCCCAATATGCCAAAGTCTTTTTGATGGACAGCAGAAAGCTAATTGGAAGTTCTTATCCCATCTCTGTAACTGGATTTAAATCTGGGGGTTGTAATTATTGTGTTGAAAGTTACAGTACCATATGTGTTTCAGACTGAAAATCGTCTGTATTCAATATGTTTCAGATAGTATTATCTCCAGGAATAAGAAACCAACAATATACAAGGAGCATATCACAGAAAACCACCGCTGCTTGTTGTGTTCATAATTTTATATCTTACTATACAAGTATCATTCAGTGTGTGAAACAAAAGATGTGCAATGTTAATACTGGTGTTCTGCAATTATCACTTAGTTTTCCTTTGGTTGTTACAGCAAGTCCTGCTTAGGCAAAGAGTCTCAGGCTAGGTCTACATTACGGGGGGGGAGGGTCGACCTACGATACGCAACTTCAGCTACATGAATAGCGTAGCTGAAGTTGTGTATTTTAGGTCGACTTATCTGGCTGTGAGGACGGCAGCGAGTCAACTGCTGCCGCGCCGCCATCGACTCCGCTTCCGCCTCTTGCCACGGTAGATTTCCGGAGTCGACGGCAGAGCCATCGGGGATCGATTTTCGATCCCCAATAGATCAATTGCTACCCGCCGATCCGGCGGGTAGTGAAGACGTGCCCTAAGGCTGTATTAGCCTTCCTAAGAAAGAGAGGAAATATACCAGCACAGGAACTATACTAATTAACAAACACTGTACACTATTCTGTGCTCTAATTGTTCAGAAAAAAAGTAATTACCTACATTTTCCCTCAAGTACTTAGTGGCTGAGCACTGGAAAAGATAGCATTTAAAAGAATTGTATTAATAAGGTTCCACAAACAACATTACTGATACTAATTGCATGTGTAATAGTCTCATAGACCTGGAGGCTGTTAACTAACATTAGCTCCTAGGAACTTCTACTCTCCCAATGGTTCAGCCTTTTTCTTAACTTTGCTACTATTGTCAGGAGGGTTGCTGTGACAGCAGGGTGTGGCTCAATAATGGAATTATTATGCTATTTAGTTGTAAAAGACTTTTTGAGGAGAGGAGTAGCAATTGTATGTCCCGAGGAAGAAATGTATTCAGTTGGGACCTGAAAGAAGAGGATGGAGGCAATGCAGATTGGGATAGGAATTGCAGCCATTGATGACTAATGCCTGAACTGATCTTGGAGAACTTTATTTTACTTTTCTCTTTAGTTTTTATTTTATTTACATTATTTAACAGTGCTTTACCTGAGGAATGGAAGGAGGGGATGGAAGTAGAGCAAGGAGTGGAGAAAACTTAAGTTGTGGAAAGTTAAGGATGGACATAAAAAAGAGAATGGAGGAAGACTGATGCCATGAAGGCAGGAAGGCTCTGCCTCGGACAGGTGACTTGGGTCTATGTAATTCACACAGGAGCCATATGAACACCATACCAAACCCGTCTTGGAACTGAAAGCAGTCCTTGTGCCAAAAGGCCAAAGCTCTCATTTGCTCCAACTTCCTTCTGCATGTTTAAAACTCAGGGGTAACTTCTCCCTATGGTTTAAGGGGAATTCAAAATAATGGGACCTGTGCTAACTGTTCCCAAAACATATAAAGTCTGACATTGGTATATTCAGACCTCACAGGGAAAATGGATCTAGTATTGGTTGGCTTTATTTACTGAGTGTAAAAGTACATACATTCAGTGATGTGTGTAACCAGGCTTCCATAGCAGCTATTAGTCTAATTAACAATAACCATCTTATGTGAATTATTGAAAAAAAAAATCAGAACCTCAGCAGATGATTTTTCTCAAATGGGATGGGTGCCTCAGAGGACTGTTTTTTTACTTCCAGTATCTTTCACTGAATTTCATAAAGACCTTAATTCATGAACAACTATGTCAAATTTAGTGCAACATCAATCATAACTCTACCCGCTTCTGTGAAGTGCAGCACATGTGGTGTTAAATACTTCTTTATACACTGTATGTGCAATTTGGCCAAGAAATAGTTGTTCTGCATTCATAACTTTGAATGAACTGCATAATGTCCATGTAAAATCTGCATTTATTTTATTTACTGTGATAAAGAGGAAGAAGGCGCTAGTGTATTTGACAGTCAGATCACATTATTCCACAATCAGATAAGCAGTCCAGTGATGGCACATTCTCTTCAATTTAAACAAGACATAAAACTGTGACTCATTTGGTTACGTTTCTCCAGGAGAGACCAGATTTAGTGTTCTGAACACAGGACTGGGAGCCAGGATCTCCTGAATCCTAACCCTGGCTGAGACACACGGAGTCATGGGCCAGTCATTTAACTTTCCTTCCTACTGATCTACCTCACAGGGGGTAGTGTTAGGACTGGTTAGTGTTTGTAAAGTGCTCTGAAGATTAAAAACACCACACTATGTAAG